GGTACACACTCGGTAAGTAATCCTATAATTTTTTGTTTATAGCATAGTTTATACAGATTATTCCCAAAAAATTATACGTATTTTGGAAATGTTGAGTCGAATTAGTCTAGAATCGGTTAATTTTATAGAAGAAAACCTTTCGAACAGCCTTAGTCCGTAAAGTTCCCACCTATCGGGCTGCGATTGGCTCATGTATTTAATCATTCCTACAACGTAATTTTCGGTTAGCGTGGAACGTATCTAAGCGTTATAGGGGGGTCTACTTGTATTTGGTTCCTAGTTTTTCCATCTGGGGATATCCATGTTTGCTTGTGGATGTTTTTTCTAGGGAAATTAGTACTATGAATTATCAGATCTCTAGCGCTGGCTAAGTTGATAAGTCGCTCTCCATTATCATTGGTTGTCTCATGCAGGCTCTCCTTTCCTATGGTGGGTTGGAAACACCGCTCTTTGCCTATTTTAGCATTAAGGTCCCCAAGAAGCATCACTAGTCATGCATTGGAACCCTGCCATTGTGCTCTTTGTGTTCTCCAGCTCCTCAAAGAATTCGTCTTTGTTTCCTCCGTCGCTGACTTCTGTGGGAGCGTGGGCGTTGACCAGTGTGATATTGAACCATCGGCCTCTCATTCTGAGCTTAGAAATCCTCGCAGAAATGCATTTAAATGCCAAGATCGAGTCCCATTTATGCTTAGCTATGATGAAACCAATACCTAGTTCATGTCTAGTACTTCCTCCATATAGGATCATCATGTTCTCCGATGTGATTATGTCGTCCCCCACCCACCGTGTTTCTTGGATGGCTGTGATATCCATCTTATATCTCTGTAGTTCTCCTATTACCTCCTTAAGTGTTGCTGCTCTATAAAGGCTTCTTACATTCAAAGTTTCTATGTTCAGTCTTTTTTTCCAGTTCCATTGTTGATTTAAAGTCCCTTTAAAGGCTGTCAGGTTGTTTTCTTGTGACTGTTTCGTAACCATTCTATTTTTTATATGGTGGGGTTATTAGCCCCACGCATAACTTCCAACCTGGAGAACCTATATGTTATAATATTTATCGAAATCTCTTTAGATTTATAACGTTTTTTGCCAAATCTTACGTTCGAATCTTGATATACTATGTATACATCACTATAAATTAATTTTATGCAAATTCATAATTTTTAATACTATTTTTTCTACAGAATATGATTATTCTCTGCTTCTTCAATCAAATCTATGAGAAATTTCCTTTTCTGCTGTCTGGTCTAGTTTATACGGATTATTCCCAAAAAATTATACGTGTTTTGGAAATGTTGAGTCGAATTAGTCTAGAATCGATTAATTTTATAGAAGAAAACCTTTCAAACAGCCTTAGTCCGTAAACTTCACACGTATCGGGCTGTGATTGGCTCATGTATTTAAGGATTCCTACAACGTAAAATTCTTATAAAGTGGAACGTATCTAAGCGTTATAGGGGGATCTACTGTACGCTGTTTTTCTTATACTTAAGATTTAAAACGATAATATGTATTACAAAGCGATTTGTTTCTGTTACTTGCTATCAGTTAACTTTAATATGAGACAAACCATACATATACGAGCATCCTCAGAGAGGGCAAACGGGGCACTTGCCTCTTCCTGGGATCGAGTAAAACATTCCACAAAAGATCGTAAAAGTGATTGAGATATATAACCTTACACTACCTTCGACCATGGGACGCTTTGTATTGATGCAGTACTGTATTCTATAACCTCTGAATAACAGCTACCGATGGAAATATAAAAAGTGCATCAACGAGCTTAACTTTCTCCGTAACATTTCTCCGAGCCATCTGTTATGATATTTTATTTAAAAAACTATATTTTTAACTATTAATAAATGGCAAAAAGCTTAATTTTGAGGATAGGGATGGGTTTTATAAAAAAATTGTAAATGCTAATAACGAGTAAAATCGTCAGTTCGACCCTACTGGAGATACATATGACCCCCTGTATCTGTCTACCCCCTCGACAACATTTCCAGTTTAGGTTGAATGAAGTCAACCTACTGGAAATGTTGTCGAGGAACCTACGTCATTTAACCTACTGGAAATGTTGTACATGCTGGAAATGATTCCTCGGTCATCAACATTTCCAGTAGGTTGACGTCATTCAGCCGACCAATCAGTGCGTTGTGCCATATGGATATTTATAGTCTATTTATCCTAACTTGGCAGCTACTGTAAACAAAGATTCTGTCGTATTAATCCGCCGAAGATTTTCATTGGTCAAATCACAATCGGAAGTGGCTCGACACGTTTTGACCAGTTAAGCCCCTTTCTCTGCACGTGTTAAAGTAGGTCAAAGTTGTCACAACAATTTAAAAATTACCGAGATAATACAATACTTAGAAAAGTTATTATAGCTTACTTTAACATTTTTACGTAGCCGTTTAAATTATTTCCATCGTTTAAATATAGTTTGTCAAAAATTATTATTAAATATATATTATTAAGACTTACAGAAAACATGTATGAATTTATCTATGTTATATTTATATAAATAAAAATTTTTTAAAATAATTATAGTGTAAACTTACCTTATTAATCATCTGTATCAGAACATAGTTGCTCAAAGTAATCATTTATATCGCTTTCGTCACTACTTGTGTTAGACTGAATAATCAGTTTTTCTACAACAGTTTCTGAAATCTCATCAAGTTCCCACATTCGTTGTTCTTCTTTTTCTATATGTTCAATACATTTTCTCCATCGTTCTTCATTTATTTGTTCGATAGCTTCATTCATTAAAATTCGCACATCCGACAGTTTGAATGTTGTGTTGTGACGTGCGATGTAACCTTTCATATCTGCCCATATCAATTCAATAGGATTTAAATTACAATGATACGGAGGTAAACGTAACACGTCGATACCTATTTCTTTGGCCATTTCGTCAATAATATATTTATCGTATTTATGTTTTATTTTTTTAACAATATCCAAAAGTTCTATTTTCAACATTTTGTCGTTATGACGAACCCTATTTTTTTCCAACCAAGAAATTATGTCAGCTTTTTTCCAACTACAATTTGGAATCTTCTCAATTTTAGCTGAGTGATATGGAGCATTGTCCATGACAACAACAGCATTACTTTCTAATTTTGATAATATTTTTTCAAACCATTTTTTGAAATTATTGCTATCCATTTCTTCATGGTAATCTTTTGTCGACTTTGATTCAAATTCATACAGACCACCATTCAGAAAACCTGTATTGCTGCCTATATGAACAACAACTATTCGTTTCCCCTTTCCAGAAGGATTTTTCAATCCAGTAGATCGTCCAGACATAAAAGCTTCGCGATAAGACGTAATTGAACAATCCTTCCATACTTTATTCTTGGTATGGCCCGCATTAATCCATGTTTCGTCCAAATAGTAAATTTTACGGCCTAAAGAACGCATTTCTCTTATTTTTCGTAGATATTGTCTTCGCCATAAAATGATATCGTCTCTTTCAATTAATCTACTATTTCTGTTTCGGTTCGTATATTTAAAATTAAGTAATTTTAACAAATTATATATCGTAGATCGAGTAAAGTCTGGTAAATCTGGATCGTCATTAACAGCCTGTAATACCTTATCTACAGTAGGTAATTCGTTTAAAAAATAAAAATTGTGTACTTTACCTCTAATGGCACATTTTGTGAATTCGTCATATTTGTCAACGAGTTGAGTACGCTTACGGGTTTTCGAAGGAGTTATTACTTTACCATTAGTAAAATATTCTTTACGAATTCTGTAAATGCTCCGTTCTGATATCCCTGTTGTCTGTGCTACCATTTTCACTAAATCCTTCACGCAGACTTCTGGATTCGTTTCAGTTAAAGAATTAAACAAATTTAATACTATTTGTTTATCCGAGCTCCTCAGCGATTTTCCTTGCCGATGTTTAATCGTATTTACATTCAAGTTTTCCATTTTTGTAATTCAACAACACAATTTGAAATAACGGTAGTTATTGCAATGAATGGAAAAAGAAACAAAAACATTATAGTGCGCATGACCGGAAAAAGTTTATTTCTAATGATTCAGAATGTGCAAATATTTATTAAAATAACAACTTAACAAATATGAAATAATAACATTTATAATCATTGCTAAGTGAATAGCATTTCATTAATGATTTTATAAATAACGAAGAACTATTTTCTGCGGACGAATGAGATGCAATACGATTTTTAATTGATGGACATGGGTTTAAACCAATAAACAAAGAGAGGTGTGTCTTAGTTTGTTTACAGTAGCTGCCAAGTTAGGATAAATAGACTATAGTCGCATGTTTTTCCTTGGCTTTACTTTTCTATTATTTGGCCACTGCGCTTTTTAAGATTTTTACCTTATTTATTTGAACTTAGAGAAACGTTAAGAAAAAAATCTTGATCATTTTTTAAATAAAATTTGATACGTTGGAGAAAGGGGAAAAACTGATGATGTCTTTCTTTATCTCGGGAACAAATGAATTTTATGCTCTGTGCGTTCTATATTGTTACTGCTATATTTCAGATACTTGTTTATCTAATGTACAGTACTGTACAGTACAATTAACTTCCTGGACGTTAGGCCACAAAATAAAATATTTGATCGCCCGACGTGGGGCTCGAACCCACGACCCTGAGATTAAGAGTCTCATGCTCTACCGACTGAGCTAGCCAGGCTTAAAGGATTTTTTCTCTATAGACTACTTCACGTTGTCTATAGAGTGACAACGTGACTCTATAGACAACGTGAACTTGACGTGAACATGAACGTGACTAAACAAACCTTCCTGGAAAATTTCATAAATTTTTAACAAAAAGTACAGGAATTGTTAAGCTTCAAACGGGGTGAACAGAATCGTGCCTTCCATACACACATTAACATCCATACATACAGAAATTACTCCCGAATTTTTTTGCATTAGATAAAGTACTGTACAGTAATATTCAAAGCTGGGAGACAAGTTCCAGGAAATTTTATTAATGCGAAAAATTACAAAATTAGCTAATTACTTTGGATCCGAACAGGAACAATTGGGTGACAAATACATTACATTCATATTGTATATTTCATTACATTTTTCAGTATAGGGTATCAATTCGTCGTTTACTGAATTCAACCAACATTCATTTGATTCCACGAAGTAATCGGCGGATAAACAATTTGATACGTCGGTACAAAATATCATACATTCTCTAACATTGTTTACTTTTTTATATCCGGCATTGTAGTTTTCTATGCAGACGTTCTCTACGACATTAAAGTTTACTGCAGTAAAAAATATAGCCTATATAAGTTTATATATACATGTAAATTATATTAAGATGTTAACGCTTAAAAATGCGATTAATCTAATGATAAAAAATTAATCTTGAAGACTTAACTTTTATTTTTAAAGTTACTTATAAATAATTCCAATATACAAATTAAAACTATTGGTCAACTAAAAACTAAACATTCTTATAAACGGTTATTCTGTGTTATTTAATTGTTCTGTTATTATTTATTTAATAAAAACTGAAATAATTTTACTTATTGAGTCAAATAAATTGATCCAATTTTTGTCGATTTGTATTCAGCAGTACAGAAAATTTGTTGCATTTAAGAATAAAATCGTTATTTTAGACGTGAAATTCTTTAAACTGTACTTTTGTGTCGTGGCTTCGGACGCGACAACTTCTCAAGTAACTTTGTTCTTCAAGTGTTCCTTCTGTAATTAAGTAGTTGATTTTAATGTGGTTTTAATGCAATTTCTTGAAAATGCCGCAGAAAGTACATAATATCATATAGACATGAAATAAATTCACTTTATTTCTAGATTTTTATTTCTCTCAAAATTTTTTCTAACAGACACAAAATGCTTTATGGGAATTAAATCTGAGTGAAAATAAAATTTGACTTAACGAGAGTTATCGAGAGTAACTATGTATACATCTTCTTCTTCTGGCATTGTGGGTCTTTGAGGTCCTTAGCCGCAGTCACAATCTTTCTCCATCTCGTTCGGTCTATAGGCTATAGTCTGCCTCTGCCAATCTTCGATTCTGAGGTCTTGAAGATCTTCAGTGACTCCATCTATCCATCTTTTCTGGGACGGCCTCTTGGCCACTTCCCTTTCCTCTCATAGTGATGCCCTGGTGAATCTGTTGCCATTATAGGAAGCCTTACGACATGGCCTAGCCACTGTAATCTTCTGGCTTTAATTACCTGTGTAATCATAGCTAACCATGTAACCATGTGTAATCATATTTTGTCTTGTCACTGTATTTTTACTTGTTCAACAATTATGATGCAGACGCTCAAAGATCCGACACTTCCCTTCAATCTTTTCCTATTTTCTATTCCTCCCTACTTACTGTCACTTCCTCTTCTAATTTCAATTTCATCACTTCTAATTTCTTACAGGTAAAGTCTGTGCACATACAGACAACCTCTCTACTATTTTAATGTAATGTAATGTGTAATCATGGGATTGCCGTAGATTGTCTTCAGTTCTTGGTTTGTTCTTTTTTTCCATATTGGTTCTCCATTGACTATGATCATAGTCTTCCACAGGTCCGAAGATATTCCTTAGTATTTTGTTTTCGAATCTCTGTAGTTGTATTAATAATTCCTCCTGCTTTGTCATTGGCCATATTTCACATCCATACAGAATCACAGGTCTAATCAGTGACTCGTATACAGTTAGCTTCGTCCTTTTACTAAGGAGTCTGCTTTTTAGTATGTTTGTGAGCCCGAAGTAGATTTTGTTTCCCTGTAGTAAGCGAGTCCATATCTCCTTCTTGATGTCATTGTTTCTGCTTATGTCAGTCCCTAAGTACTTGAAGGATTCTGTAGTGCTGAATGTCATATTGTCTACGGTAGATGTTCTTTGTGGAATTCTCCCGTTTTAGAAATAACCATGTATTTAGTCTTCTCTTCATTGATGATCAGACCCATGCTCTTGGCAGCTGTTGCTAATTTTGACGTTAATCTTGTCATCTCCCCTTGAGATGCTCCAATTATGACAATGTCATCCGCATATGTCAGTAGTGAAAGTTTGCCTCTTGAGTCATTTTCCCTTTTATTGCTATCTCCTGGGTCATTCTGACAACTTTTTCTAGAGCGATGTTAAAGAGAAGATGAGACAGGGCATCTCCCTGTTTCAGTCCTGTTTTGCTCTGAAAGCTGTCCGACCTTGTGGCCCTGGTTTTTACTGTATACCACACCTCATTCATGCAAATTTCCGCAATTCTGGAGAGTTTGTCTGGTATCTCAAACTTCTTCGTGGCCTTCCACACTGATTGCCTGTGAATGCTGTCGTACGCTTTTTGAAAATCAATGAATAACAGGTATATGTTGACATTGTATTCTCAGTTCTCAAGAACCTGTCTTAATGCGAAGATTTGATCGGTTGTGGCTCTATTTTTTCGGAAACCAGTTTGATATTCACCCACGATTCCTTCCATGTATAGAATCAATCTCCTCATAACTAGAGAAAACAGGATCCTGGAGTAGGGAGTGTAAAAACTGCATCTCTGTAGTTTTTACACTCCATTTTATTTCCTTTCTTATGGATGGGATTATGCCTGCTTCCTTCCATTCCAGAATCAGATTATGGATTGTCTTTGCAAGCTGCATATTTGATGAGCTCGTGTTTGATATTGTCAGTCACTGCAGCTTTGTGATTATGTAGATTTTTTATGATGACCTGAACCTTTAACTTCTGGTTTAACAATGTGTTTTGGTAGGAATGTGGCAGGAATCGTGGAGTCTGGACAGTTCAAAAGATCCTGGAACTATTATTTCCATCTTTTGGAAACTTCCTGTTCGTTTGCTAACAGCTTCCCACATGCCTTTTTGATGACCAGGGGTTTTGGTCGATATGTGTTGTATAGAGTCTTAATGTCTGAAGAAATTTCTCATTTTCTGCTTCATATGATTATTCTCTGCTTCTTCAATCAAATCTATGAGAAATTTCCTTTTCTGCTGTCTGGTCTTATTAGAATGTTTTCATGCCTCATCATATTGGTTTCTGATATGTAGGTCTTCTGGATTGTCCAGCCAATTCATTCTTGCTTTCTTTTTTCTTTGATTTACCACTTCTTCACATATGCTATTAAACCACGGTTTTCTTGGTCTGTGTTCTTTAGGTAAGGTTTTTATGGCTATTTCTAAGATGGATGTGCGCATTGCTTTCCATTTCCATCTTTTTTATCGTATTCAATTCTAGAACTTTTCCTATTTCTTCATGGTATTGTCGCCTGGTGTCATTAGCTTTGAGCTTATGTACTGTACATCGTATGAAAAACGATGGTTTTGCTTGTCCTTCGTCATTACTTGGAGTTTCACTTTCATTCTGGCTCTCAGCAGGAAGTGATCTTGTTCCTGCTTCTGCTCTTCTGAGACTACGTTTGTATTTATGCTATTACGATATCTCCGGTTAATGAGTATATGATTACAGTCGACCCCCCTATAACGTACGTTCCTATAACGACAATTCCTATAACGTAGCGAAAAAATTGTAGCAACTTTCGTATAACGTACCTCCTATAACGTCGTTTCGACAAGATTGATAGAGTCTGGACCAATAGTGGATGAGCAGCCGAACTACTTTCCTCCGACCCTGCGCCAGGCTATGGAGCGGCTAAATTGAGTTTGCTATCGTCTGTTTAGTATTATATATAAATTATATATAAATTAGGTACTGTACATATAATTATATATTAATTATATATAAATTAGGTACTGTATATATAATTATATATTAACTTAATTTATTGTAACTTTATTATAATTATATATATGCTTTCTGCCGCCTGGCAACACGCTACGGAGATTTTAGGCTAGTAAGTTGAGTTTATTATCGTCTGCACAGTATGTAAATTAGGTACCGTAAGTCTAATACAGCACTAATTTTATACATTTCTTGTGAAAGAAACACTTCTTATTCAACGGCCATAAAAATTATTTATATTAATGATGTCTCCAAAGGTCAAGTTATTTTTCTGCGAAAAATTCGTTATTAGAAATCGCGGCCGCCGTTTCGTGTGCTGTTCCGCGACGAAGACAAGCTTTGAACAACGGGCGTAGTCGAACGGTACACACTCGGTAAGTAATCCTATAATTTTTTGTTTATAGCATAGTTTATACGGATTACTCCCAAAAAATTATACGTGTTTTGGAAATGTTGAGTCGAATTAGTCTAGAATCGGTTAATTTTATAGAAGAAAACCTTTCGAACAGCCTTAGTCCGTAAAGTTCCCACCTATCGGGCTGCGATTGGCTCATGTATTTAATCATTCCTACAACGTAATTTTCGGTTAGCGTGGAACGTATCTAAGCGTTATAGGGGGGTCTACTTGTATTTGGTTCCTAGTTTTTCCATCTGGGGATATCCATGTTTGCTTGTGGATGTTTTTTCTAGGGAAATTAGTACTATGAATTATCAGATCTCTAGCGCTGGCTAAGTTGATAAGTCGCTCTCCATTATCATTGGTTGTCTCATGCAGGCTCTCCTTTCCTATGGTGGGTTGGAAGCACCGCTCTTTGCCTATTTTAGCATTAAGGTCCCCAAGAAGCATCACTAGTCATGCATTGGAACCCTGCCATTGTGCTCTTTGTGTTCTCCAGCTCCTCAAAGAATTCGTCTTTGTTTCCTCCGTCGCTGACTTCTGTGGGAGCGTGGGCGTTGACCAGTGTGATATTGAACCATCGGCCTCTCATTCTGAGCTTAGAAATCCTCGCAGAAATGCATTTAAATGCCAAGATCGAGTCCCATTTATGCTTAGCTATGATGAAACCAATACCTAGTTCATGTCTAGTACTTCCTCCATATAGGATCATCATGTTCTCCGATGTGATTATGTCGTCCCCCACCCACCGTGTTTCTTGGATGGCTGTGATATCCATCTTATATCTCTGTAGTTCTCCTATTACCTCCTTAAGTGTTGCTGCTCTATAAAGGCTTCTTACATTCAAAGTTTCTATGTTCAGTCTTTTTTTCCAGTTCCATTGTTGATTTAAAGTCCCTTTAAAGGCTGTCAGGTTGTTTTCTTGTGACTGTTTCGTAACCATTCTATTTTTTATATGGTGGGGTTATTAGCCCCACGCATAACTTCCAACCTGGAGAACCTATATGTTATAATATTTATCGAAATCTCTTTAGATTTATAACGTTTTTTGCCAAATCTTACGTTCGAATCTTGATATACTATGTATACATCACTATAAATTAATTTTATGCAAATTCATAATTTTTAATACTATTTTTTCTACAGAGAAATATGAATACAAATACATAAATGTTAATAAGAATTATTATTAATTCAAAACTTACGAATATCGCATTCATGTCCACACCATCCACAGCGACACTTGCAGATGTATGCTCTGAAATTATTCAGTGTTACATGACCGTTAACGCAAGTACCGTGTTTGCAAGGTAAATCTTTGCAACCAATCTGGAAATATAATTTAATATTAACTAATTTAAAACTTTTTCAATGCTTCGTTCTATAAGTATTTTTACATTTATAATATGTAAAATTAATATAAATGATACACTGATTACAAAAATTTATAAAAAAACAAATGCACATTTAGTTATAACTGTTTGCATGAAATGGATTAACGTAATTGTGAACCAGGGCTTTGGAGGGACCATTTTTTTGAGTTGCTCCGCTCCAGCTCCGCTCCGGTATCAAAGTATTTGCTCCAGCTCCGCTCCATGCTCCGCTCCATGCTCCGGTTAAAATATTCTTATAGGAATTATACTAATTTTGTCTTTGGTATATAAGTACACATAAAAAACTTGTTTATTTACAACTAATTTATTATTTAAAAAATTAACATACAACCTCATTGATTTTAATAAATAGACTGGGGAGTCATGAAGGGGAAGGAATAGCTTGGTCAGGGGATAGTGGAGACTGGAGAGAGAGGTTCCCACCTTTCACATGGGACATATGCGGAATGGATATAAAATTAATCTGTGCTTGTGATCACCTTTCTTTTTAGTTCAATTATTGTATTTTTAACATTTGTAAATATTATAACTTATGCCACTTCCATTCTCATCGTTTCAAATATTAAATAAATATATATATATCGGAGCAGTGGAGCACTACAAATTTCCGTGCTCCGGATCCGCTCCTGCTCCGAGTAAAAATCCATTGTTCCACCTGCTCCATGCTCCAGCTCCAGCTCCGCTCCAAAGCCCTGTTGTGAACTGTAACAGAATGGTTGTTTTTAATACTTTTCGAAAATTATTCGTAATTTGTTGATGTGGTCATGTTATTAATCTGAATCTTGGTTAAATTGACATTTACAATGTATCAGTTTAATTTTAATCGTCTCACAGTACGTAAGGGAGAGTAGGGTAATAGAGTCCACCTGTTTTTTGGCTAAACGGTTCAGAATTTTCAATTCCAACAGATGCTTGCATCTAGCAGCTGCAGAGCCAACTTCGAATTCTGAATATGGTGGTTGTTCTGTGCACATGCTTGATTGTGTGAGAAAAAAACAGTTTTTTACATCTTTCTTCTAATTGGAACACTATCATTTGTTCGACTGTATGTACCCTAGTATATAACTTATTGTTTCAATAATATATCAATATATTAATGCTAATTATTCCCTCAACTATTAATGAAGAAAAGATTTCACTTTATCCCCTTTGTGTCAAGGTTGGAAACATAAAATGGGGCTCAACGAGAATCAAATGACAATGAAGACGATGACATAGATGCAAGCAATACTAATAATATCTGCATCATCTGTGGAGAATTTGGTTGAAACAAAGAATTGTGGTACAGATTCTCCAGATGATTAGGCTACATTTGTGATTATTGTATTGAGTGATTAAAGTTTTTAATTTAGAGTGCTTGAACTTATCACTAAACACACAAACTATTTTGAAAACAATATATATATAAAAAAATTAATAATTCATATGCAAAAACTTAAGTTTTCTAGTTTTTGAACAAACATTTCTAACGTTTCAGTCTTTTTTCAATGTTTTTATATAATGATTCCCATTACCCCACATGGTTGGGTAATGGAGTTCAATGTAATGTTTTTTGTTTTTTATAATTAAAACAATATGGAGAGGAATACCTAAGTTTTGACAGGTGCACTTTATTTCTTAAAGTACACTGTTTGCACCATTAAAATAACTTTTCACAATATTGTTCAGTTTTCTTAAAAATATGCAAGATACCTTAGGTGGGCCCTATTTTCCTACAAGAATTTTTGTAGCCGTATATGATACATACATCGCGTATTCATTACATGTGAAAGTGTGAACTTAACATGAAAGAATAAATTCCTGGCGACAACCTTTTTACCCCCTCATCCTGAAAATGCAAGATATTATCCATGTTACACTGTATGGAAGAAGATCTATCATAGCCTGGTTTCTATGAAATTTCTCGAGTAATGGAGTACACTGTGTAAATCGTATTTATAGCTCGTTTTATCTATCTTGATATTTTGAAAATTGTTACGTTATCTCGAGTTACTCGTCAAAAACTTTGTGAATGGATTTTCAACGAGATAACGATCCAAAATACAAAACCAAAGTTTTAACTAATTCATTACTGCCAAAAAGATTCGAATATTGGATTGGTCGGTACATAAATCCAATAGAAAAAATTTAATAAACAATTAATTATTAGACTATTATACTTATATACGCAATGAAAATTATACAGCTTATATATAGGTGTGTGTTAACAAGACTTATTTATCAGTGATAAATTCAAAGGATGTAGCGAACAATGGTGAATGATTAACAAATCAACATTTGATAAGTACTAACAAGGAAAACTCCGTATCGAAATGAAAGCCAACTGTTTACGAGGAGTTACAGTAAACAGATTTAATAGTAGGCCTAATTTATAAATAAATTTCGTGCCTAATGTTCAGATCTTAACTGATTTAACATGAAAAATTCTGTATCACATGCAGGCAATCTCAAAAATTTAATACGGATCTAGTATGCATATATATTTATTCAAATAAATATTGTAACAAATTAAAATTTTTTGTTCGTATCTTCATAAAAATAAAACAAATATTTTAATCATACCTTTCGATGATATAGATCGAAATCTTCTTGGTCATCCAATAAATCCAAATCCAAATCCTTCGATAACAATTCGCATTTGCCAGTGTTCCTTTGGAAATTCATTCCATGACAATCTTTATTGGTAAGACAATATTTCATGCAGAATAACCTAGTTTTAGCAACAAAAGTGGATAGTGTACAGTTTTTTGCCTTTTTTCCCGATATTATAAATGTAAATTGATCTTCTAGCATAAAGACCGACAACGAGGGAGCAAACAAGACCGATAGTACAGTCCAGGAGTATAATATAGTCATGCTAGTGGCAATGTTAGGACTGTAGCATTGCAACAGCGTTTCTGTTAAAGTATTTAAAATCAAGGTCTATTAAGAGCAGTGTTTCTTCCCACCGTCAGTCACGCAATAGACAACGCTACGGGCTATTTATCAGAACTTTTGCCATAAATTGTAAATGAAACACACAAAACTGTTCTCGACTTTATGAATTTTTCTCATAAACTAATTGACGTATGGTCTTATATACAAGTATAATATTTTTAAAGATTTTGTTATCCTTGTAACTCAGTTTTTGACTAACTTTTATATTGTAAAATTATATCTTAATGATAATATTTAAACGTATTATTTATAAAATTATCGGTCAAATTTTAATAAATATATATATATAATTATAAATTAGATACAGGCCATATTATTATTACAGTACTAGAATATGAATATGTGTTATAAATAACGGATAATTTTAAATGATTAATCTCCTTATATTATAGATTATAATATAATTGATAGTAGTATTGAGGGCGTTGAAAGAAATCATAATTATAGGGATATTTCTTCTAATGTGATGCTCTGTGTTTATTACTTTTTGTCACCTTTTATACATTTGAAATTACATAAATTGATTTTATTTATTTTTATACTTTCAATAATATTTATAGTATAATATAAGCAATTATTTATTGTGACGATGTCACGATACCAGGCTGCAATTTTCCGTTACAATGCTCTCGATTTTAGTAGTGTCTTGACCCTGTACTAACGTACAGGGGCAAGACACTACTAAAATCGAAAGCATCTTTAACAAAGGGTATAAGAATATAAAAATGGAATAACAAAAAATGACCACCTCATTTTTAATTTTTGAATTCAGGAAACCTTGAATTGTTGAGAATTGAAAAAAAAAGTTGGGGTTTTTGTATGGATGTTAGTGTATGTGTGCACGACTTTTTTCACTCACTTTGAAACTTAATAATTCCTGTGCCTTTTGTCGAAAATTTCTAAAATTTTGCAGGGAGGATTGTGTATTAGGGACGTCGATGTTGTTAAATTTTGGTGGTAAAAGATTAAGGGGTTGGAGAGAGATAGAGGTGATAGTATACCATCGGACTAAATGAAGGTTACACTTGTTATTAGCATTTACAACATTTTATAAAACTCATCTCTACCCTCAAAATGAAAAATTTTTGCCATTTTATCATAAATAATAATATAAAATGTTTTTAAAGAAAATTTTATAACAGATGGAGCCTACGCAATTTTAATTTTTTTGCCGGAAAAGTTACGCAACTAGTGCTGAATTTTTTAACAATGAGATGTAAAATTCAGGCTCTTTCAGTTAAATTTTGGAAGTATTCTCTAACATTTTACATAGATATTTTATATGTTATTTCATATTTATATCTATAAGCTATAGCTAGAGTATAAGCGATATATTTCTTATTAATATATATGATCTATTTTAACACGTTATTGAATTAATGAAGAATGGTAGACGTGTTAAAGTTAGGAACACACAATTATGGATATTAATTATATTATCAATGAACATAATAATATACTGGCAATATAATTAACTCGAATAAGATAAGTTACATGCAAATAAATATATCTTGTTAAAACTTTATATAGATTATAATAAACGAAGACTATGTACTCTATAACCCAGTTATACATCTTATCGTTTTGGACATCTAAGTTTAATTTTCTTTTTTTTAATCGTATGTAAACAAGGTTGCCCTGGCACAAGTTATTTTCAACATAAATACCTGTATATGCCAGATAAATATGCTCCAAAGGTGATTTATCTAGCACGATTTTTTAAACCGTATATATTTAATTATATTTTATGGTTCTGTATGATTCATTCTTTCTTTTGGTTATTATTATTATTTTTTATAACAGAAAGGCCTTCAGGATTTATAAATCTTAGTAAAGTAAATCATTGTAAAGTAGTGTTAGTGTTTCGTCCTTTCTATTATAATTAAAACAAAAAAATAAATAAATAAATACCGGTATGTAATTTTATGAAGTGAAATATATAATATTACGAAGTAATTGAGTCAATAGAATTATATTTTAGCTGTAAAAAGTTAAATTAAAAATACAATGTAATTCCAAGAATAAAAATTACTACATTAATTAATTTTATTAAATATACATACAGGTCTTGTTATCTAAGTATTTAATTTTCTTATATAGACGTTTCAACAATATAAGATAGGGAAGAAAAAATTGAATTTTATATATTACGTAATTTTAAATATGGTATTCTGGCTTTGACTAATACTATTAAATATCTTATTTTATTATTATAATTTCTGTATCGATCTTTGTCTCTTCCTAAATAATTTGCGTGTGCGATTAAATGTATGAGGAGAATTCGTAAATGAGAAAGTTTCGCGTGTCACATCGTTCCGAAAAGATAACCTCTGTAAACTTAATACAGAGAAGACACGTCGTGGAGATTTAGCTTCAGCATCTGTATTCATACACTATGAGTACCATTTTCCTTCTACTAATCATCTCCTTCTTTGCACCAACAAAATCTGTTTTCTCGGTCAAGCAACAATATTTTACTTTGGTAGCTTCCGGTAAACGAGCCAAAAATTGCGTCATTTCTAACGCCACATTCGGTACGAGACTCTTCTGTTTGAAGCATTGTTTAGTGAATAGCCAATGTTTCGGTGTGAATTACCATTCGGAAAGTGGTTTGTGTGAATTTTTATCGGAGAAATTAGATTTGAATTTCTTGGAAGACGATCTTGATTTTGGCTTATTTCATAAAAAGGTGAGCCGAATTTTATTATTATAAATTCGTGTTTTCGGATTTTTTAAAAACTACTCTTTCCTCCCTGAAAGTTACTAAGAGGAGTTTTTAGAAAGCTTATTATGGGGTTTCGTCCCGGCCCATAATAAAATGCCCATCTTATTATGGGCGACGAGGGACGGATCTCCGAAAAATTTCTGGGTTTTTCGACCCATTCGAATTACGATCCCGGGTCCTTCAGAGCACTTTAACTGTTCTGCCCTCCGGCCCCGTGTTTTCTGATTATCAATTTAATATAGCAATTAATTTTTCGATAATTTAAATATACATTCAGTTTTTAGAAAGAATAATATAGAAAAGTAATACAAGCTGATGCTAGTTTTTGTATAAAACATAGCCCTATTATTAATGACAATATTGTAAGTGATATAACATTTTGTCGTAAAAAAAATTCTTCGAGAAATGACATTCTACATTAGAAAATAAAAGTTGAAGTCTTGTTGCCTGACTACTAATTAAAACATGTTAACAAAACATATTTAAATGCAAAGGAGTGTAACAAGACCATATTGGTAATATTAATGTACAAACTGGGAGCAAAAACAACAAGTAGGAATTACTAACGAGAACAAAACACGAAAACAAAATTTAAATTTTAAATCTAAAAATATTTTGCATGGAAATATTCATTAACCATTAAAAAAAAAAAAATGACNAGAAAAATAGATTCTAGAGTTACAGTCCTACCCAGCACGTGATACAGACTTCGATGTTTTGACTTAAAGTAAAATGGCGGTCGATAGTAGCCATCGTTGCTACCAAGTGCGCTGTATCGAAGGTAACAGCCACTCTATGTAGTATATTTTAGCTCGTCGTGTTTTAACAAAGGGCTATATAAAGCTATATTTAGCCATATAAATTCCATAGGGCTATATTTAGCCATATAAAGCTTCATCATATTTCTACCCTTTAGATCCAGTTTTACATAGACTTTCCTTCAGAGAAGCATAGTTCCTTTACATTGCGTCCAATATTAACATTGTATTTCTGATTTGCATTTTAACTATATTTAAAGCATTTAATTTTATTTAAATGCTTACTTATATTTTTTTTAGTTTTCAATCAAAGTTTATAATGAATGTCTCCGAATTAAATATATCAAAGGCTATCAATGCATTTTAGATGCAAAAATAATATTAATAATGAATAAAATCGTCACAATTCTCTCAATTTTAGTAGTGTCTTGCTCCTATACTTTTCCTGTTAACAACAGTCTTACCGATTATCTAACTCCGTTCTGGAGATTAATGAAGAATGAACGACAGTGGGAATTTAAAGGTATACAATTTGAAAATTTCAGTATTTAAACTGAATATAATATAAGATATCACGGAAAAGAGATGGCATTTAGTAGATGTATAATATATACAATATATATGTACTAATATCGTTTATTTGCATTTGTATTATTATTTGTACTGAGCATTTTTATTACAATTTAAATTATATATGACAGTTCAGGACGTTGTAAATTTGCACATTAAGCAGAGTGGATTAAATAAATCTGATGATCCAGAATTATATACTTATTATTAATTGTATTAGTAGGAAAAAAGAAGGGGGTCGATAAAAGGCAGGCGAAGGGGTAGACAGTCAAAAAAGTTTGGAGAATCCCTAGTCTATGCACTACTTAGAACTTTGTAAGCAATATACAGATCAATCAATCAAAACGAACAAATGAAAATAAGAATGAAACAAAATTTCAAATTCAATTTATGATATTTATTTCGATCTGTATTGAATAATGAAATATTATTTGTAAATAAGAAAAGCAAACGATGCATTTTTATGCTTTTCTGACAGAGAAATTAAATGATTAATAGCATACACATATTCATTAAAGGTATAAAAATAATATAAACTTTATAAATTTCAATAGTCAGGCTAGCCTTTGTTTTAGAATAATAATACAAGAGGTAATAAATCGACTGGAAAATACTTCTTAAACTGATTTTTATATAAAATCACGTTTACTACAATGCGTAATACTTATAAATAAATTTAATATATACAAAACATTAAGAAATTAAATTGTAGTTTTTACTTATCGCGGATATAAATAAATCTTATACTGTATTGTTCTATTTTACTTCTCTGGATACGCCCTTGTTTCATTTCTGATAGTGTAAATCTAATAAATTGTCACGAAATTTTGAAAGATTGTTGAACTTGTAAATTATATTTCGCCTTTTACTTTAGTGATAAAAATGAAAGTGCAAAAGATGAAATACATTATACGAGGACAAAGCAAAGAACACGGAGATTTTTAACACTCCTCATTTAGAAAGAAGTAAACAATACAAAAAAGCAACAAATTAAATTAATTAACAACTGTTTACAATCTTCTCTACAGTAGTAATATTGTTTTGTGTTATTCTGTATATCTATATTGTAAAAATCCAGCAACGAGTTGCTTAACTTTCCTGGCAACATTTAGTGGAGCCATCTGTTATCATATTTTATTTTTAAAAATTTTTTTATGTGTTTAATTATTATAAAATGGCAAAAAGCTTAATTTTGATGGTAGGGATGGGGTTTATAAAAAAAAATTGTAATGCTAATAACCAGTAAAATCGTCCGATCCTACTGGAGATACACACGATTTCTTTTATCTCCCCACCCTCTTTACATTTAATTACCAAAATATAATAGAATCAAACCTCTTAATAAACAAACCTCCTTCAGAATTTCAGAAAATTTCGACAAAAATCACAAGAGTTATTAAGCTTCAAATAGAGTGAACTAAATCGTCTCCCCCACGCAACACATCCATACATACAGAAATTACCCCCGAATTTTTTCATTTCTTGACGTTTCTTGAGCCCAAAAATGTAATAATCTTGTGGATTATTTTTTGGCCGATCGCCATACATAACAGCCGGAAAAGTAAAAATAATATTGTTTTTAATTAAAACCCTCGCCCTTTTAAAATTCCTTCTTAATTAAGGGCCTGTATAAACGTTTTTGTTTTTATTCTTTTCTCCTTGTGGACACTAAAGAAGGCCTTTTTATAAAGTTCATCGTGGGTTTCGACCAGGCACACATTGGAGCAGCATTAATTCCAATGTAATACACTTATTAATAGGTTTGAAAAGTGTTTTATAAAGTAACATTGTATATTTTTTTCTTAAAAAATATTTTATTATTTAAAAAATTCGGCTTACTAAACTCACGCTATAAAATTATTAAATGAACGACCTACATAAAATATTAAATTCTTGTTTTATGATTTTTTAATCGAAAATCTTGTTATATCTTTTTCGAATGATTAAATATTGAAGGAAATTATAACTTTGCACGCAAACGGATTACTTTTGAAATATTCAAATTATAATGGAGAACTTTAAGATAAGTCTTCAATATTCTTTTTATTAATTTTTTAAATACAGATGACATTTATAAAAACAAAAATATTTCTAAAATAATTTATTATATTAAAAATTAAAAAAAAAAAAACAATTCTTTTATTGGTCATTTCTACTGAGATTTGCGATGGTATAGTGGGGATGATCGCACCTCACAAATGACTATTATACATTTACATACATAAATTCTACATTTGTTTATCGAGGAGGGGATGAGCCATCTAAATCATCCTAAAACATTCCTAAAACATCATTAAAATGCATTGTAATCGGAGTTAAGTAGCGTATGCTCTCGAAGTTTTTCCTTCTACCTTAATTAGAAGTGGATGAGGTGGATTGAGTAGCAAGATTTTAGGACATGATACAAAGTTAAATAAAAGTGTTTAATTAGGTAGCAAAAAACACATTTCTAAGAGATTTAAAAATATAAAGATTAAAAAAAACCCCTACAAATTTTGGAAATTTAATAAAGTTTTGTTTTTAGAATTAAAAGTTAATATAAAGATGTATCTGATCGGTTTATGTTATCGATGAGATGAAGAGAATTTGAGCAGAAATTCGTTAATCCGGTGCTCGATAATAGGGAATGTCTGGTAATCCAACACAATCTGAAAAGTAGTAAATAATCCGGAATTGTTCGATAATAATTGGCATTATTGGCACGCTAGTATTCCGAGAATAGGGATTTGTTTGGATAGGTGCAGGCGGAAATACAGTGCATTAATTTTGAGCAATAAGTTTTTGCATGTTTAATAAGATTCTTATATGTTTTTATTTACTTTCGAATCCATAATAGGATTGCTATAAGAGGTCCTCTTAGTGTCCATAGGGTGGAAAGAGTTTAAAAAAAGGTACAAAATGCACATTAGGTCTAATGTCTGCAACTTGTTCACATCGCATATAACTTATCGGATTTTGCCAAATTCAAAAATGCCCAATTAGTCCGGCATTATCGATAATCCGGCACTACTATAGTTACTGAATTAACGAACTTCAACTGTAATTAATTTAACATCAAGTTGTTTATTATTAGAGGAGAAGGTGGTATTATGGAACACTGCGGGTATTATGGAACCACCTCATTTCGAACTGATAATAAAGTCGAACTGCAGCGGAATGTGGCTGAACTGAACTAGGCAGACATCCATAGCAAGGGGAAAACCCGTTTTACTTCAGTTAAACTGTTGTTTGCATTTAATCAGCAAATTTGTTTTTTTCAAAATTTGCAAGTTTTGAATGCTAAGCGAATTTAATTATTTTTAAAATATAAATCGTGTAGTTGTAGGTTCACTGGTGCATGTATTCCGTTCCAGAGACTTAGGGGTACATATTAATCTGTGTGATGTTCACGTTTTTTAAA